GGTTAATCACACCAAACTTGATTGCAGGAAATACGGCTTCAGCAACAGAGTGGTCAATGTCTGGAATACTCTACCTGACTCTGTGTATTCTTCCCTAAACCCCAAAAACTTTAACCTTAGACTGTCTACTATTGAGCTCGCCCCTTTCCTAAGAGGTCTGTAGGGGGCGTGCTCAATAGTAGACAGTCTAAGGTTAAAGTTGTTGGGGTTTAGGGAAGAATACACAGAGTCAGGTAGAGTATTCCAGACATTGACCACTCTGTTGCTGAAGCCGTATTTCCTGCAATCAAGTTTGGTGTGATTAACCTTGAGTTTTTATCTATTGTTTGCTCTAGTGTTGTTATGGTTGAAGGACATTGCAATGTATGATTTTATATGCCATACTTAGATCAGACCGAAGACGGCGTAATTCAAGGTTTTCTAGGTCTAGAATTTCAAGTCTGGTGGCATAAGGTATTCTGCAATGAGTAGAGGAGTGGAGAACTCTTCTTGTGAAATATTTCTGGACTTTCTCAACTGTGTTTATATCAGATACGTAATAATATGCATCAAATGAAAAGTTTCATCATATGAAAAAGTTTATTCAGTCAGGTTCAGTTAGTGCTGAATTTATTTTGTAGACAAGATTTTTCTTATTCAGAAAATTAAAACACAAACTTCAAAATAAAAAAGAAGAGAATTACAGACAAAATAAAATAGACAAGGCATTTTTGTTAAATGCATTTTTAAAAAAATACAAGAACACACACACACACACACACACACACACACACACATCGTCCCCCTTAGTTGAATACAGATAGATGTATTACAGCAATAATAGTTTCTTCTCCCTGTTAAACAGGCCCACTATTTATAAATGTTTAATTCTTTCCTTGTTGTTTTAACATTAATATTATTGGAAAATATTATTGTAGCTTAGCATAGTGATGACTAAGATATTTAGTAAGCTTATGATGCAGCTTATTCTCGACATGGGCTGAAAATAATCCCATTGAATATCTTTCTTTTTTCTTTTTGCTAAATGTTTTTTTTTTTATTTAAATATAGAAAGATCAAAAATTTCAATGACTATATAAACAGTGCGTAGTCTGGGTACAAATAATTTGAGCAATAATCATCCTCATAACAATAATATTCATAATATTTTTCATAATCATATCATCTAAAAAATGTCCCCTCCTAACCTTAATAATAAAGATATAATGACAGTAATGCTTAATTATACATTTGATAAAACATTTTTATAAATTTAGTCATTACCTTATTTTTTTTAAGATCTAACTTTGATTTCTATGCGTTAATCATTGATAAAATAAATCCCAAATTAAGTAATATTCGGTGTCTTCTTTGTTTTTAATTTTAAGTGTGAGTCTATTCATTTCTGCACATTATAATACTTTTTTATTACATTCCCTTCTGTAGGGATCTTTATACTCTTCCTGTGTTGCACAAATGTAATTCTAGCCACCATTAATACATGTAATATTAAATAAATATTTTTTAGTATACTTTTATGGTATGATACCCAACATAAATATTTTCGGTTTTAAGTCTATGTTACTTTTGTCATTTTTTATATCCAAGTGTATATTCTTGTCCAGTATTTTTTTGCCTTAGGGCATGTCCACCACATGTGGTAATACAAGCCCAGTGTCTGGTTATATTTCCAGCACTTAGCCAACATATTCTTAAACATCTTGGCTGATCTTGCTGGTGGAAATGCCATCTGTAAAACATTTTATATAGATTTTCTTTGTATGCTGTTGACATTGTTAATGTATAATTCCTCTCTCATAGCTTTTGCCATTTGTCTAATTCTATTGAGTAGCCAATGTTTTTAGCCCACACTATCATAGTTTCTGGGGGACATGGTGGCTCAGTGGCTAAGATGCTGAGCTTGTTGATCAAAAAGGTTGGCAGTTCAGTGTTTCGAATCCCTAGCACCACATAATGGAGTGAGCTCTCGTTATTTGTCCCAGCTTCTGCCAACCTAGCAGTTCGAAGCATGTAAAAATGCAAGTAGAAAAATAGGGACCACTTGGGTGGGAAGGTAACACCGTTCGTTGCGCCTTCAGCATTTAGTCATACTGACCATGGAGATGTCTTCAGACAGCACTGGCTCTTAAGCTTTGTAACAGAGATGAATACCACTCCTAGAGTTGGAAATGACAAGCATGTACATGCGAGGGGAATCTTTACCTTTATCATAGTTTCCTTTACTTGTTCTTCTTTCATTCTAATGCTCAGAAAACAGTTATAAGTTCTTTTAATTAGTTTTTCATCCATTCCTGTTTGGATCTGATCTAATTCTGTTCTTTGTAAAATCCATATATTTTGACATCTTTCTCATGTCTTGATTTTATTTGTACCTGTGGCCACCATGCTAAATTGATCCCTTGACTATTCAGTTCCTGTTTACTTTTAAGTTTCCCGTTTTCATTCAAAATGTCTTATGATTTTTTCCATATTAACCACATTCAGGTGTATCGGTGCCTCCATCATGGAAAGCCAGACTAGTATTTTCAAACAATGTTTTTCTCTAATTTTTGCCCATACTGACAGTAAAAAGGTTTCAAATATACTGTTTTTGGAAGTAGCTTTGTATTTTATTTCTCCCATAACATAAGACAGGCCACCCCAACTGCAAGTTATGTCCCTCCAAAGTTATAAGTTGTCTATGTCTCAAATTAATACATTCTTTCATTCATGTGAGTGCAGATGCCTGGTAATATAACTCCCCATCTGGCATCCCAAAACTTCCTCCATTTTTAGAATCTTGTAACAATTTCAAACTTATTATGGATTTTTCCCTTGCCAAATAAATTTTAATATTAATTGATTTAGTTCCTCAAAATATTTTTTGCCAATTTTATTGGAATTGTTTGGAACAGATATAGTAATCTTGGCAGAATGTTCGTTTTAATGGTAGCTATTCTTCCTATCAATGATAGTGTGGGCTTTTCCATTTCTCCATATCTAGTTTAATTTTTTGTGTTAGTTTAGAGTAATTATCTTCTTTTATAGTGGCACAATTCCCAAATAGTTAACTTTATTCACTATCTCTATGTCTATTTTATTCATTATATCTTTTTTCTGTTTATCTGTAAAATTTTCAACTAGTATTTTGGTTTTTCCTTTGTTTATTCTCAGTCCGGCAACTTCGCTGGAGGCTTCTATTTTCCTTATTAGTTTGGGTACAGTTTCTTGTGGTTCCTCTAAAATAAATAGCAGGGTACCCATGCTTTGCTATGAAACTATGTGATTGGGCAAGGTTTTTGGGAGAAAAATAAGGGGAAAAATTATGCCTCTGCCTACCAGCATCCATCAGTATTCATCTAGCTAGCATCTTGTCAGTGCGTGAAAGACAGTTGATGGCTGTTTGGAAACTGAAACAGTATTTTCCATGTGAGCAAGAAGAAGACAGCAAGTAGCCTGGGTGTGGTTTAGCTCAACTGCAGTTGGAACAGATTTCTTTTCAGGTGGGGAGGGGGAGTAGAACTCCTTAGCATCAAAGTGTGTTAATAATAATTACTAATTCTCTGATAGTCATTTCAAAAAATCCTTTCTTAGTGATCAGCTAGAAGCTAAGAGGAACATACATACCAATTTTCAAGTTTGTAGGCTTTACGATTCTGGAGATTTCGTGATGATGCATGAG